TCTCGTTGTGGTATTTCTTTATTATCGGAAAGATTCTTTACGTGACTCCTCACCGTAGCTAAATTCAAAGAATTTCATATCCTTATAAGATCGAAAATTTTTTGCTATCGACTTGAGTAAAGTATCTATTATTCGTTAATCCACAAACAGGGAGAGAACAGTCATCGAGCTAATCCAAATGTCAATCGAAATCGATGGCATTCGTTAAGTAATATAATTTCAGTCTAATATCATTTTCGTGCCTGGGCACTTGTTCTCTCTTTCTCTCTCTCTCTCTTTCTCTCTCTCTCTCTCTCTCTTTCTCTCGCTCATTCGCTCGCTCTCATGATTTTGGCATCGGTGCAGATAGCCACGTACTGGCCACCACTTGTCCACGATAATATGATTTATCTGCCCGAATGTTTCGTACCCGCGAAACGGCTGGGACGATAAATATCGACAAGCGGTTCGTTGAATAAATCACAGGACGATAGTACCGGAAGCTAGACTATGTACCACCGCGGACGTTTCCGTTCTTGCTCAAAATGGATGGAAAAATCGTAACTCTTTGCGACAGTACCACTCGAATCAAAGAGAATTACTTTTGATCAGGTCTTCGACGACGACGACGACGACGATGACGACGACGATGACGATGACGATGACGACGACGACAACGACAACGACGACGACGACGACGACGACGACGACGACGACGATATCGTCTAGAATAGTAAAACGATTGTGTCTGTGTATGCGTTTACTCTCACAGCCACCCCTTTCTGCATCCACCGAACGAGATATAAACGCGAGGGTAGAAGAGAACGTGCGGTCACGCGAGACTCCCGAAGATTTACACGTTCATTGTTCCCTTTAAATTCGGTAATGAATTCGGCAGAACAAAGCTGTTAATCTTGCCGGCCATTGTCGAGACTTCTAACGCTTAAAATACGCGAAATTATGGGGAAACTCTTGGCTCCCACCTTCGCGAAAGACATCTACGCGGATGCTTTTCTTCTTCCACCCCGATCTTACATTTACGGCTTCGGCGATATATAAATTGATGGTATCTTCAGCCATTGTTTCGAAGTCGAAATGAATGTCTTTCGATCTTTTGATAACCAGCTATTACTCCTTATTTCGCATCGGAAAATTAATATGTTTTTGTAATGCTTTTATTTTCATCTCTCTCTCTCTTTCTCTCTCTTTTTTATATATATATATATATTTTTTCATATGTCGTTAAAAAATTTAACGACGCGAACGCATACGAATGGCCGATCAACCAGGTAAAACGTAAAAACGTAAAAAAAACAAACAGACAAACAGACAAACAGATAGATAGATATATAGATAGATAGATAGATAGATAGATAGATAGATAGATAGATAAATAAATACGACAGAAGGCAGAGATATAGGGAGAGGAAAAAAAATTTGGCGTAGGGCGCCTCGGAAAAGTCAGTGACGAAACGAATTTCAATTGCCTTTTGGTGAATCGGAATGCGAGCTCGCAGTTGCCAGCTTGTGAGTAATGGCGGTTTGATTTAAACTTTCTCGATAAATGAAATTTCTGTCCGCGCAACGGCCTCGACGATTGATGGGCGAGTTCTATAGAAAGAGCGAGAGAGCGAGAAGAGAGACAGAGAGAGAGAGAGAGAGTGAGAGAGAAACGAAATCGTTCATTACGAATCCGACGTTCGTTTATCCTAATTATCATTAATCAGCGTCGCCGATATCGAATATTAAGATGTATAGAATGCATCGAGGTATGATAAAACATCTGCATAAAAAACAAAAAAAAAAAAAAAAATAAAAAAAAATAAAAAAATAAAAAATAATACACGTCATCGATTAATTAAAAAAAGCTACCATGAATCATAACTTCCTTTTTTCGTTGAAAATCGGTCGTATTCGTCAATGGAAGATCACCGAAGGACAAGTTAGAAGTCCAAGAGTTTATTTTTACTCTTTCTCTCTCGCTCTCTTTCTCTCTCACCCTTTCTCTTTCACGCCCGAAGACAATACCTTTCATTTACCGTTTCGAAAACGGCACGGCCTCTTTCTCTTTCACACGGAAAACTTTCATGGAAACTAGGACGAAGTGGCGCGCCAGTGAGGAAAGACTTAGGTAGGAGTAATATTGACAGTGAGTGGGTGGACGCGTTAAAAGCACGAGTCCATGCAAACACCATCCCAACGTCCTTCTAATCGCATTCTATTTCCTACGGTCGATTCTTCGTTGAAATTTTCTTCGTGAGAAAAGATGGAATAAAAAGAGAAAAAGAGAGAGAGAGAGAGAGATGTATAGACAAATAGATAGATCAAATTTAAAGATAGATAGCTAGAGAGAAAAAGAGAGAGAGAGAGAAAGAGAGAGAGAGAGAGAGAGGGAAAAAATCATATTTTAAATACACGAGAGAGAAAAAAATTTGCAAGTGAAATCACTTTCACGCTGACTGTAATGTACGATTCGCAGTCACTCTTGCAATGTTAATCGGGCCGGCTTTACGATGCGAAAAGACGCGCGTGCAAATTCGGCGTGACGTTACTCTCTAGATACAAAAGGGAATGGTTAATGATGCACTTAAAAGGTCGCAATGCTCAAAGGCGCTTGAAATGAATCAAGAGTGCAACGATCCTTGGAATAGCGTACATCTCGAAACCACAGAGTCAAATAACGAAAATACATTTTCTAAATTATCAGGCAGGTTCTATCTAAATATGTATGCATGTGTACGTGTTATATATGTGTGTATGTGTGTTATTCAAGAATTGATAAAATTCACGCTCGTGTTCATTGATTTCTTCTTTCATCAGGTTCGAACTTTAATACATTGAAAAAAGTTTTCCTTGGTAAGGTGAACCAGATGGTAAACTTTTAAATTGCGCTATACAAAAGAGTTTATAATAAAGCGAGCGAGCGAGCGAGAGAGAGAGAGAGAAAGTAGAGAGAGAGCGAGTTAGGAAGAAGATTCGTGGAGACTTTTTGGAGGGTCGAATAGTAGAATGGACTTCGCGTTCATTAAATCAAGAAAACGATGCCAAGAAGGAAATAAAAGAAAAGAGGGAGCCGTAGAAACGTTCGAAATTCAAGCCTCCTCTTTTTTACTACCTTTTCTTTTCTTTTCGTTTCTTTTCACACGCTACCGTGAAGAGAAAGAGAGATCAATGAATTGCTGCAACGAAGAGTCTCTTAATGATCAAGAGAGAAAGAAGAACGACCATGATCTCGTTAAAAAAAAGTATGGAAGGAAATTAAACTAGGATGGACGATTAAGGCCATTGAAAAGGGATCGTCGATCCGAATCTTATACATTCCACACATACACACACACACACATATTTCTTTTTTTCTCAACATTATGTTCGTACTACTTGAGGATATCACGCAAAGTTCGACGACGAGTAATATTATCCAACGTAGCGAGAAACGAACGAAGCATTCGTGATAGATTCAGTCGACTTATACGCGATCCTTTGGCTCCTTGCCCAGACGACTTATCGTCGCGTTGCATCTAGAAGAAAAGAAGAAAAGAAAAAAAGAGGAAAAAAATAAAAAAAAAAAAAAAGAAAAAATAAAAAAACCAAGAAAAATCCCGTACTTTATATCCGAAGAAATATAGGCGCGTTTTGCTTCAAATTTATGATGATCTTTAGATAGGCCAATTGCCAGAAATAATCCAACGAAATCGTAATTGCCTTTTTCTCTTTTACTTATATCTACCTTCCAATTCCGTGCAATTTTATTCTCTTCAATTTCGTTTAAACTTTATTATACTTTTCTCTCTCTCTCTCTCTCTCTCTCTCTCTCTCTCTCTCTCTCTCTCTCTCTCTCTTCTCTCTGTACCTTTCTGTACTATTATATTATTTATTTTCAGTTGCCATGTAATTAATTAACCTACGATAAAATCGTCTCTTAAAGCGAGAAAATAGAGATACGCAAATGAGTTGGCTTGCCGTTCCATTAAAGCGCGACACGTTTGCGAGAAGCATGCATCTTATAAATGCGTTTAGTGTCGTGTTGATCGATGTCGGAAGAGCTCTCACGACGTCAAGTAGTTCGGAAGGCGAAAAGGGATTTTTCGATTAAAAAAGATCGATCGTTTCTATCTGCATTGCTAAACGTATGACAGGCTATAGATTTAAAGGGACGGTTATAACGCCACGCATCGGTTTCCGGCAAATTCGCATCTCTCGATGGTGATTTTAATTTATAAATATTAAAGATATATCTACTTTCGTTCTTTAGCATTTTTCTCATTCTCTTCTCTTTTCTATCTTTCTGTTCTTTTTCTTAGTCTTTTTTTTTCGATACATACTACTTACAGAGAAAAAAAAAAAGAGTAGTAGTTAATATAGGAATGTATCGGCTAAGAATACGTGGTGCCATCTCGCGATTCCAAAACAAAGTTTCTAAGGGTAGGTTTGATGAGGATCATGCAGGTTCCATTCGAGTAATTGTAGGTTAGAATAATATTTTAACGAATTACAACGATTACGTTATATGTATTATAAATTAAAAATAGATTAGATTTAAGAGGAAACATTTTTTTTTTACAACGACATGCAACTCAAAGTAATAAAATCTATATATTTTCTAACGAATAGTTCTAGAGAAAATATAATAAGAGACAATATCGAAGAATACTTAAATCGTAAATAATAATCAATTTGTTTACAAATAACAATCGTAAAGACACTTATCTCCTATATCTTATAATTTTCATACGATTGTATCGTCATTAGTTATTAACTATGAACAACACGAAGTATTCTATTTATTGAATTTTATTATTTCACGTCTTTCTTCTTGGTTAGGTTAAGTTCTTTTGTAAACAAAGGATCAAAGAATGTGCCACGGAAAATCTTGGATCTTTTGAAAAAAAAGAAAAAAGAAAACAGAAAAGGAAAATCAATAAAATAGAAGCGGGGGAAAAAAGCAAGAGTTAGAAAGAGAGAGAGAGAGAGAGAGAGAAAGAGTAAAATATAGAGTATATTATTTGATTCGATTGACTTACCCTTACGACAATCAAAAATTAGTAAACTGTGTTGCAACCCTCGAACGATATCACACCAACGAAGAATATCACATCAACGAATAATGTAACAACGCTTTTTGCGTATGCATAATACACGAGACGTACGACGTAATAACATTTGTAATTTGTGTAATTTACATTGTCGATACTCGCGGGAATATCCTTTCGATCGGGTAAACTCGCGAAAGGGGAAAACGTTTTCGACGTTTTGACATCGCGTGCGCCATGGCGGTAGGCGAACAGCTGATCCAAAGGCGGGATACAGCGTTACAGAGGTGATAATTAGGGAGAAAGAGACAGAGAAATACGGCATGGGTGGTAGGTAATATCGAGTTAAGACGCGCCATCTTCCTATCGATTTTATTATATTCGATATCTTGCACCCTCTATGGCGCATACTTTAAATTTTTATATTGTATACTACCGTGACGATAATTAAATATAATATTATTCGATTTCTTTTCAATTCACATTATTTATTAACAATTATTCGCGAGAATTAAAATCAAATTCAATAATTTCGTTTCGAACGTTGGTTAAAAGTATTCAAAGTTAACAGACATTTTTTAATTAATTTTATTTAAAATAAAAATAATATAAATTATTATTCAAGTAATAATTTATAAGATACGATAATTCATATCAAAGCCCTTGGATCAGTATGAGCTCAACGAAAAAATTGCACTTGGTACCGTAATTCGAGTTCCAGACAAAGCGAAAATCCAGAACATAAACCAAGATAAGCCCCACCAATATCGACAAGAATTTGCATTCAACGTGAACACGTACGTACATACATTCTCAAAATGTACAAACGTATATGGTACGTGCAACTAAGCCAATGCGTAAACATAGTAGAAACGATAACCCTCGGCATCTAAGCAACGTGGCAAATGTTGCTGGCACGGCTTCTTTGTGGTTGCTACTAAACCAAAATTATAGGACGAGACGAGTATAAACCAGGTTAAAATTTTCTCGGTGAATAGAAAAAGTACGGAAGTAAGTTTGAAAATTATTTTAAAGGACGTCGTATTTTTTTTTTCTTTTTTTTTTTTTTTTTTTTTTTATGATATAAGTACGTAAGCGTATATAAGAATGAGATACGATCTTTTATACTACTAATAAGTATACTGTCATAAGTTAGAAAACGTTGGCATAGACCATGAAGGCTGTGAGAATATTTCGTCATAAAGGAAATTATAGCTAAGTATCTAATGGTTAATGAAGTACAAAACAAACTATAATTTATTTATAATACTTGTGACATTATCAAACGATAAATGTCACATTTCAGTCAAGAGGAAAACGGAGACGAAATCCTTAGAAATTTATTCTCGTCGTTGGAAACGATGCATCTTCTTGACAATTCTAAGGCACGACACGACAAAGACAGGTACGTCTTTCAAACTCGAAGGTCGATCAATCTGTCGGTACTATCTTTGCTTATCTCACGTACAATCGATATAATTTTCATGAGGATAAATCTCGAATCCGTTTAATTAAAAATAGTTCATTAATGCGTTCCTTTTAGGCGTCAAATTACTCTATTTTTTTCTTTTCTGTTTCTTTTTTTCAATTCATTTTCTTCTTCTATTTATGTTACGTAAAAATTTTTTTTCAAAATTTCAATCATATTACGCCACATATTGATGTTAATTGAATTAATGACTTCAAATAGAAAAACAAAGCATATGCTCATTCGATATTTAAATGAAATCGTTGGTATGCATTATCATTAATGCAATACGACATACCATAGGTGCATTCCTTTCTATTGCTTGAACAAAATTATTATGCGTTCTAATTAAATTCTTTCTACGTAAATATTGATCTTCTTTGCATTTAAATTTTTGTTTGATTATTCATAAGGAAACATGCGTAAAAAATGCGAGAAAAAATATTATTAATTCGTTCATTGTTTTATTTTCGACCTTATTCCAAGTGACGCTGGTTCTATCGCGAAATGTTACGGGCTTGGAAACGATGACACACTCTCATTCACGTAGCGTAGTTCCTCGTGTATTAGTGTAGGTTTTACGTCACACGAATACTCGAAGCTTGTATGCACGCAACAGGCGGCATCGCACACAAATGAACTTCGTAATGACCGTACAACGTGCGGTAGAGGCGGTTTTCCCCCACCACTTCAATCGTGACTAAAGTATGCGTTAGGTCTGTACTTAAAGATATAGACACCATGTATATGACACCGTTAGTACGTTAGAAAGCTTATTAATAATTTATCGAAAGATCTTAAATAAAACAACGAGTCATCTATATTTTTTATACATGTTATACATATTATTATTATTATCATTATTATTATTATTATTAATATTACAAATTATTATTTAGCAATTAAATAGAAAATTGTTGATAAATAGATTACAACGAGACTAGATTATGTTTCTAATTTAAAAAGTATATATATATATATATATATATATATATATATGAGAAAAATTTTATAAAAATTGTTTTGTAACACAAAATCGAAATATCAAATAAAAATTGATTTTGGGCCTGATATAAGCGCCTTAATTTCGTCCGTCACTGTTACGAGTACCCAGTTGGTCTCTTATAAAGAGAACCCACGCGTCAACTCGGGCCGCATACCACGGTGGCGCGTCTTTCTCGAACGTGGCCAGTAAAACACGTAATTGCTTTCAATTCGATCCACGCGCACGTTTCATATTCTCGTCATATTCGTTATCAGTGTATTAACGAAATTTCTTGAAGAGTGCTCTGTGACATTTGTGTTTATCGTGTTCTAAAGCTAGCCAGCTAGGCAAACAATCAAACAAGTAACCACGATGTTCAAAGATCTTGAGCGTGGCTTTGAAATCCGAACGATCGTTCGTAGATCGGATCAGAGTGGCCGATGAAAGAAGAAGATCGTTGAAATACTTTGGTATATCAGGTGGTCAGAAAATAATCATGGAGAGTGTCCTCGAATAACCTTGAAGATTACACCTATGATCAATACCTGTACGATGGTCTTAAAACTTGCTCTAGATAATTTCTTCCTTCTCTTTCTCTTTCTATTACGTTAATTTAACGAACGAAAGAAACTACGTCTTTTGTAGCGAGTCGCTTGGCAACTTAAATGATACCGTTTACAACGATCAATTTCGTCGATCCTCTTGATCTTTGAGATTGTCGATGATCGCGGATAAGATATTGATATCTAATTAATATTTTAATCTTTGGTAATTCCTCCAAATGGAAAAAGTTCGTGCAAGTTTGATAGTTATTTGCAAACCACTTTTGTATACCTTTCCGATCAATAGCTATACCTGAACCGTGGGATACAAATTGAAACAGGTGGAGGTCAGTCTGTAGGGTATAACTTTTTTTCGTTGTTGTTGTCTTGAGAGAAAGTCGGACCCAAGTTGGAAATACACCCAACGACGTATCTTGAATCGTTTCAAATCGTTGTTGTTGTTGTTGTTGTTGTTGTTGTTATCGCATTAATGTCAATGTACTCTTGGTTTAAGCTCGTTCTCAATTATTAATATCATATATAGATTTATCGAACATTGTTTTAAACGATTGAATTAAAATAAACGTGATAATCGTGATTATAAATTAAAATGATCAACAATTTTCTTGTTCTATCTTTATTTGATAATAAATGTATATTTATCGATCCGTAAAACGAAAGTATTAATAATTAAGCATTATACACGTATATATATATATATCGATTTCGTTAGTCAGCCATAGAAACACGTTTGCTATTTTATTTTCTTTTATTTTTCTTTTATTTACTTATTTATTTTTATTTTTACTTTTTTTTTATTTTTTTTATTTATCTGGATTAATTAAACATTAATGCTTATGTAACTTTAATTTAATCGGACTAATAGAAAAAGACAGTTAATAAAATATTTAAGATTAAGATTAGAACGTCTAGAAAATGAATGTTTAATCGTGCATAAAACGAAACCCACCACGTTTTTACAGTTTGATCGTAATAATTTATCACAGTATAAAGATAGCTACTATAGTATCGTATACGTCGAGATATTGATATTCCTTGGACGAAGCGAAAACGCATCAATATTCTTATTCGTCTACGTAAGAATATAATTGTAACGAACATTGACAATAAGAAAGATACTTTTCAGAGAACAACACCGGATGTCTATCTTCGGTAGTAGACCGTTATCTGAACGAGCAATCGTTGAGACTCGATAAGAGTTAATAACGATTTAAAAAGAAAAAGAGAGAGAGAGAGAGAGAGAGAGAGAGAGAGAAAGAGAGAAGAAAAAAGAAAAAACTTCATCATATCGAGTTCTTTACGAAAAAAGCAGTATGGCCTTGGCAAAGATCAGGAGTTTTATCGACAATGGCTTGAAAACTGTGTCGACGCCTTTGGATCGTACCGTCAACTTAGAACCGGAAGTAGGCGTCAGAATCATTCATTCGCCAAATGAAAAAACTCTCTGCGTAACCGTCATTGGTGCAAGACACTTACCGCAAAATTTTGGCTTCACCAGAGTCAACAGTTACGTCGTCAAGGTGAAATATAAGAGAGCTCATGATATCCATGGTATTACGTAATGATAGCAACGAGAAAATGATCATGTCCACTCGAGAGATTATTGTAATTTAAATCTTTCATATTTCTTTTACTTTGCACGAGTTCCGTTTCAATATATACATATATACAAACGTATATATATATATATATATATATATATATATATATATATATATATATATATATATATATATCGATCTTTTTACGACTTCATTTATCGAAGCTATTATCGACACACGACTTTAAAACCGGTATTGACGCGTGACGACGTAAAGAAAACTTGTTTATCTTTTCCTTTTTTTTTATTTTTCTATCGTCGTCAAAATCGTACTTCCGAAGATTTCGATATTAAATGATTTGAGTTTTAGGTGAAGCTAATACCAAGTAAAGAAAAATTCGAGACAACTTCGAAAAACGAATCGTGGCCTCAATGGAACGAGGAATTCACTTTTCATTTACGAAAAGAGACAAAGATCAAGTTTGGTAAGTCGAAGGTCGTAGAGGAAGAAATAAATGGCTCGAAATTCATCGTAGTCACGCTCTATGCCATTCTCGAAGACAAACCGTTGATAGCAACGGAAAAGAAAGAAGCTGATAAAGAGAAAAATTCGTCACCTGCTAAAGACAGCGGTAAAAAGGGTGGTAAAAAGGGACAGGAGGGATCATCGAATGATCATCAGGATTCCTGTAAGAGTAAGATATTTGGTCAGTTTTTTAGTACAGGACAGGATAAAAATTCAGACGCTCAAATCAGCGAAAGGAAAATCTTCGACAAAAGACGAACCGTCGGTGCAACCACGATATCTCTAGATTTGAAAAACTTCATAATAAAACCACCAAAATCGAAGCACGCCAGTGACGTATCAACTGGCGACTTGTGGAGACCTCTCAGACCGATTAGCAGTGGCATTTCTATTACCGACGATAAAGTTAGATTCTAAAATGCATAAATTTTATATTTTTAATATATCTAATAAATTTTTAATTTATTCTCACTTCACAAAGCTTTTCCATTACAGAAAGAAAGTAAAAAGGGCAAAATCGAGTTGTCCCTTTGCCTTGAAAAAACAGATAAAAAGGATGATAACTGTGGACTCCTCGTGTTATGTCTTCATCGTCTGAGATGTTCAATACAGACAATGCACGAACACGAAGTATTGAAGGGACAAATGTACCTGAAAATGTCGGTCATTGAGAGCGGCAGGATAACACATTTTTGGAAGAGCGATCGTTTTGCACCTTGCGTTTCGATGAAATTTTCACCTGACATGGCTAGGGTCGCCGCAGAAAATCCTTATCAGGGTGCTCTCAAGGATGTGAGCTTCGTCATAAAATACGTTTCGAAAAATAAAATGGGTACGATCGTCGATTGCTATAATATAATTCTGTTACGTCCCATTTCGAGCACTTCGTTATAGTTCGAAACGTTGTCTCTACTTGGCACGATTTGATTAATCAAGTTAGCTAGCTAAGAGTTAAGCAATAAGGTCGAATTAAACTACGAATCTTTACTACGTTGAAATATAATTTTATAAGGTCGACCTTATTAATCTTATCAATTATCGAAAGAAATTTAACTTAAGTAGATGTTAATTGATATGTTAATGTACATTTTTCCTAATCGATTTTTCAATATACCATTAAATCGTTTCAGGTAAGAAAACGACAGTCGGTCATTTTGCTATCGGACCCGACGTTGGTGGCCCTTATGGCGAACAATGGAAACAGGCTCTGGCAAAACCAGGACAGCAGATAACGAAATGGCAATCATTCGAGTAATAATGCATTCGTCCGAATATAACTTTTTTTCGTTCCGTTATGTTCTCACTTGCCGCAGATAAATTTTCTTTTGGTATTCGTAGGAAAAAAAAAAAAAAAGAAAAAAAAAAAGAATTGTCGACATAACCAATACGAATACGAAATGTCTATTTTAGTATACTAAAAATATTAACCGTCCACTAAAAATATAATGTTTAATAAAAAGAATTAGATTAAGTTTGTTCTGGTGACAGTAAAGGCTGACTGATATATTTTCTACAGAAATCAGAATTTAAATAATAGAATACTCTTGCTGTGATTCGATTATTTTTTTCACCCTTATCTTCAAAAAAAAAAAAAAAAAAAATAAATAAATAAATAAATAAATAAATAAATAAACAAGCCGATACCTAAATAATTATAAACATATTCAACGACATTTGATTTCTTTTTTTTTTTTTTTTTTTTTTTTTTTTTTTGACTACTAAACATTTCAAACGAAGTTTTTCTCCTTTTATAACATATCTCGTATTACGACGTTACATCGAACGATTTTATAAATTACACATATATTGTTTTTACAATAAAATTAAACAAATTAAATCATTATTTTTTTTATATTACATACTTACACGATATTGGCAAGTTTATCATCCGATGTATCGTAGTATGGTCAAAAGTAGTTCCTGATTTAACCGCGACGAAGTAACAATGTGGTGATCTTCTAGGGATTTTTAAAATATCACTAACATTACGCAATCACGTCTCGAAGAGAGAAACGCTTAAAGAAGGAACGCTTAGACAAAGAAATCCTTTAAGCGTAAGTTCTAAATACAGAGCGATTTCTTTGTTCATATTACAATTTATATGTCATCTCAGTTCATGTGTGAATTATAAAAAGAAATCTCATTGATTGTTACTGTTATCTTTTGTCGAATTAAACGAAGTCTATTCGCTGCGTAGTCTTTCGATTTGGAAAATTTGCCATCATGGGTCGTATGCACGCACCAGGGTAATGTAATAATATAATAATTATTATAAATAATAAAAAAATATTATTGAAATTATTCTTTTACAATAAATATTTTATATTAATTAAATCATAAATATCGATAAAATTATTAGGTGATAGCTCGATCGTTTTATTTTTCATAAATAATTAAGATATTTTTTTTTATATTTTTCTATTGCTTCAAGATAAAAATCATTATCGCTTTCCACAGGAAAGGTATATCCCAGTCAGCTTTACCTTATCGTAGAAGTGTACCAACTTGGTTAAAGTTAACTCCTGAAGATTGTAAAGAACTTATTTATAAACTAGCAAAGAAAGGATGTACTCCATCACAAATTGGTAAATTTCATTAGAAATTCTTTATCAAACTTTTGGATTTATTTTTCAATTATTTTAAAGTTTCATTAACATCATTCTTGTTTATAACATAGAAAAAAAATCGAAGAAAACAATTTAGAATTAAATAATAGAATTAAATGAGATAATCTATCGGCTTATCTTTTTTATATGTTTGCAAAATGAAAATGTTACGATGCATTTCGAACGTCAATTATTCGATTATAAATTGCTATAAATTTTATATAATATATATATACATATATATATATATATATAAAATATAAACTTTATATTTCCTAGGTGTTATACTTCGTGATTCTCATGGAGTTGCCCAGGTAAGATTTCGTACGGGGAATAAAATACTACGTATTATTAAAAGTATGGGCCTTGCTCCAGATTTACCGGAAGATTTATATCACCTGATTAAAAGAGCAGTTGGTATTCGGAAACATTTAGAAAGAAATCGCAAGGATAAAGATAGTAAATTTCGATTAATTCTTGTTGAATCGAGAATTCATCGTCTTGCAAGATATTATAAGTCAAAGGGTTCACTTCCACCTAATTGGAAGTACGAGAGTTCTACAGCCAGCGCTTTGGTGGCTTAATATAGTCTGTTTATTAATAAACAACTTTCGTGTCGATTTATGTACATTTGTAAATATATTCTTTTCTTTTTTTTTTTTTTTTTTTTTTTTAATTATTTTTAATCGATACTAGTCCAATCAGACTGCCATTTATGACAATCACTTTTTTACTGTAGTAAAAATATATTTCGTATTATATCAAATCACCAAAGTATTGATTAAATAACTTTTCGATTAATAATCACATACAATCGACCGAAAATTATAAATTTTTATCTTAAATCTTTTGTCTGTATAAGAACTACTATACAAATAATATTAACACAATATCATTAACATAAGCATAATTTTCAATAATCGATGAAAAACGAGCTTTAATTATAATCATCAAACTTTTATATAAATTGTTGTCACATATTTATTTTATATTAATATAATTAATATAATTGTAGAATTCGTAACGACTAAATGACAATGCCAAAAAATAATTATTTATGATCTTGTAAAACGCGCGGAACGTGTATTTTTCATCCAATATTGTATAATAGGCGTATTTCTATTTTCATATTTATTTTACTATAATATATATTATTTTTATTGCTTTATTTTGTCAAGGTGAAATACTACTATTGGAATACACGATATTTGCACAGAGAATTATTTTAAAACTCGATATATTGTTAATAATATATTTTCTTTTATGTATTTTATTTCTTTTTATCTTTGTTTTATTATCCATTCTATTACAGAGATATAAAATATTTGATAGATATAAATCTTGGACAGATTATTAATTGCTTATTATTACACAATATTATCAACACTGCTAGTGTGATATGCATTACAGGTAGTCTTGTAAGAAAATAACTTTCTTACAGGAATGTAATATATATAAATAAAAAAAAAATCTTTCACACAGTTTCCAATATTACTAAGTTAATTTGCATCTATTTGGACGGCATTAACAGTCTTAATTAAAATTATTCTGATTTTATATCAGATATACGTTAATCTTGTTAGATCTGTTTGTACTAATGATACTGACATGGAAAACAATGTTTTAAGTATAGTTTATAATATTTGTAAAAAATATAAAAACATTTTTGGTATAAAATATTTATAAAAAGATTGTGTGTACGAAATAATAGATTTTAAAGAGATATTATGCCACGAACTCTTTGTAAATCTTTAAACAGATACATCATCGTTGCCCGTAAGTACTAATTACTTATTTATGTTACAAAGGCACTTATAAAAGTTTTAAGTTACTTAATAATTCAGATCTTTTCATTAATTTTGGCAATGCTTTTTAAAAAATATGAAGTACATAATCTAATGAAATTATCATTGTAAGTAAAAGTAATAGTAAACTTCCATGATCCTTAGATGCTGAATTACAGCCATCCTTACTATTGCAAGTACAATATTCCATAAATATGTTATATGTTCCGGTTCTCATAAGACAAAAGCGTTCATCTCCCGCTATTCCCGGCTCACCCATGTAAGCACAACTGCGAAAATATCTCCATTCCCCATTGACTATATATATATGTGCAAATAAAAAAATATTTAAAAAATATTACAATTAAGAATAGAAAAAATACTGTAATATATTTCACCTTTCTGACGTATTTTACGACACATGGTTGGTCGTACACCTGGTAAATGTTCTAAATCTGGTTCTTGCTTACAATCTGTGATTGGTACTGTAGAATTATCAAAAGGATCCGCACATTTTGGATCGGAATCGGATCTGCATACCCAACATTTTATTGAGAAACCTAGAAAATTTAAATATTTATATATATATATATATATATATTTGTATATATATACTATTATGGTTAGATAGGTATATACTATTTATGGACGTGCATTGATTAATAATAAAAAATTAAAAACATATAAATTATTAAAATACATATAATTGATTGATAATAGTAACTCATTTATAGGTTATCTCATATATCTAGAGAGATAAATATTTTTCTATTAAATATATTATCTTCACCTTGTTCAATGCAGCAAGTTAAGATAAATAGAACTGTGATCAAACGAATTATATTTTCCGAACTCATTACGAATAAAATAATATAATTCGTACATTCAAACAAATAGAAAAATGACACGCCTTGAACTAAAGACGCTAAACGCGTAGTACGAAAGAGAGATTACAGGTGGCGTTCAAATCTTTCAACTTCGAACTTATATCGTATTAGTCATACTTGTTGTTTAGATCATTATCTTAAGACATAAGTTAGTTCATCACATTTCGCCCGAAGCGTATTTGACTTTAGAGACAGGTATCGACTAATTTGTAGTTTATATCACGATATAAACTACAAGCTCGAACAGCGTAACATTGTCTTCTCCATGCGTCTATCGTATCAATCAATAAACAGTATAGGTTATATTTTTCTCATATGTGACATAACAATTGGATTAGTATTAATTAAAATAAATAGTGTTAGTACATTATTGAATTTATACTTATCATTATTCGCAATAGATATACACGGTAAACATTTATTATGTGATATAAATTCATAAAGGATAATAAATCTAATTGATACATAATTTAATGAATATCTATTTACCGTATCAAATGTTATTTCATACAAATACATATGTATTTCCATTTCTACTTCGTTCTTTTATCATTATTATTACTATTATGATATTATATCATATATTATTACTATTATAATAGTAATAATACGATATAAAGAGAATTAATTCTACAAGAGGAATTATGATCAAAGAAAAATAAAATAAAAAATAGTGTTAGCTATTTTGTTTCATAAATAATGTGAAAACGAATTAACGTTTTGATTTTTATTTAAAATAAGATATTATATATAAGTATACATTCATTAATTATTATTATCAATCGAAAATAATCGACAAAAATCTTAATTTTAATATCAAATTTATATAATTAATATTTGTCCATAGAATTCTATTATATTCAATTTATTTATCTGTTGAAATATTATTGACGATGTAAAATATTAATACTTCAATTTTTTACTTGGTATTAAATCGAAAAGATTTTGAAAGTTTTGTAATTAGGATAAATACTTGTATCCTATAAGATTTCGATAGATCGCAATTATTATCGATCCAGGTCTCACCACGTGGAGGTTACTGCATTTGCAGATCCACGGGTTAATGGTTACTCTATTCTTAAATTCTCGTTTGCTAATTAATCTAATCGAATTTTCGAGCAAATGAAAGGTAGACATATTAAATATCGCTCCACCCAATCAAAATTAGAATATCAAACTCAAGCTCGATTTTTCCTTAATGAGAAAAAGAAATCTACCGAAAACTTCATTGCCAAGAGCCTTACATTCAAGATTTATAAATAACAAATTAATAAGAATAAATAGAAATGACAGAGAACATAAATGAAATTTTCTATTATATATCTATTATATTTAATCATTTCATGTATCGATATATTAATAGTAATAATAAATTCTATAAGTTATTCAAGAAATCTATGATATGAGAGATGAAAATTTTTAAGTATTTCAACTTTATATATTAAAATTATTTTAAGTTTTTCTCACGTTCTCTCGTTTTTTTTTTTTAATGTTTAAACGAATGTACTATTGTTTAAATATTAATATATTATATATCGTATAGATTATAGAGATCGTTTGAATCGTTGGAAAATTATTAAAAGTAATATTTGATACAATTCATCAATATTACAGATCACTTCAATTATTCTATTGATAAAAAGAGAAAGAATTAATAAATTAAAGAAGAATATATATATATATATATATATATATATATATATATATATATATAAACGAGGAATAGAAGGTTTATAGTTACGTCAGTGATTAGATCGTATTACTTCGGCTTGAATCGAGTCACGTTGTCGTAGAACCGAAGTAGAGCCGCACCCGTCAAGCGGTTAATTTCATTGCACGTTTCACGAAGAATAAGGAAGGCAGTAGTGTAAAGAACAAGGAAAAAAGAGAGAAAGAAAAAGAAAAAACCAATGTGAGGAATGTACGTTAGCTAAAAGAAGCCATTAATTAATAGAGAAAAATGAAAAATATCGAATGTTTGTATGTAACGATAGTAAAAATATTACAATATTATTTCTATGGTAAACATAAGTGACAAAAAAATTACAAGTCGCAGGTTGATAGTAAACCAAAAAAAAAAAAAAGAACGAAAAAAAAGATAAACAAAACGTAAAAGAAAAAAAATGAAAAAAAAAAAAGAATAAAAATATTTATCCATTATTCTATGACCGAGAGATAGGAAATAGTATACGAAATTCGAAAGAGGAATCAAAGAGAATAGAGTGTGTTTTCTCTGTCTGTTCGACAAGAGAAGAAAAGAAGAGTGAAAGAGGGAAAGAAAAAGAGAAAGAAAGAGAGAGAGAAAGAGAGAGGGAGAGGGAGAGGGAGAGAGGGCTGATCTCGGTATAGGCGAAGGAGGATCGAACGCAGGTTTCGCGGGTGGTCCATCCTTGGAAAGAAGGCACAGTCTGAGAGTCGGGGAAACATTTGAATGCTATAAATAAATATAAATAAATTGATTTGCCGACATTAGCATAAGTAGCCGGGGGAAGAAGAGAGTCTGAGATCGTCTTTCTACTTTTCTCTCCCTCTCTCTCTCTCTCTCTCTCTCTCCCCCCTCTATATATCTATCTTTATCTCTTTCTTTTTACGTCTTCCCCCACTCTCTTACCGGTTGAAGTCGCGGACAGTGATTTATACGCGATGTCCCTTAGGCCGGCGCGGCATTCATGCGACCAAGAGTCGTTCCTTTAACTTAAAAGGATGCAAGGACTACGGATGCGGACGGGCGTCTGTCTCGTCTCTTGAAGTCACGCGCGTGGGAATTAATTCCGCGATTCGACGGGGATGGAAAGAACTCTGAAGGGATGCTGGAAATACAGAGAGAGAGAGAGAGAGAGAAAAAAAGATCGATTCCATCTTTCTCTTTCTTTCTTCTTTCCTTCGTTGTCGTATCGATAAAACGAAAACAAGTATTACTATGCGGCTTGTAACGAGACAAAGAAACAGTGCCAGGAGCAAACTCAAAGGAAAGTGAACTTAGCTTGTGTTAACTCACTACTCCATCGTAAATCCTACAATAATCGGACTAACTTTTTAATTTTCCTTTTTCATTAAGCGGTCGCTCCACCCTATGCCTATGCAATTCACCAAACCTCTTCAATTTTTTCTCTTCCTTCTTTTCTTCTTTTTCTTTTTTAATTTTTCTTTTATCTCCTCCCTTCGTCGTCTCTTCTCATTCTAGTTACCGATTCGCAATATCTACTTAGTTAACGATGCAGAAAAATACTTTGTGCTTCGGAGATCAAGCGTGAACGATTATTCGAACGTTGTTTGATAAAGTGTTAGATATATGTACCTACGATGGATTGTTAATAAAACGATCGTTCAATCGACATTGACTTCCTTTGAACGTAATTAATACACGTCGAAGGAGTACTCGATCTTGTTCTCGTTTGTAAAACACACGATCGTTATAGAAATACCTACGAGCTTTTTCTTTCTTTCTTTCTTTTTTTTTTCTTTTTTTGACCACCCACCCCAACGTTAAGATCAAACACGTCGTCGGTTATGCAAAGCCTTTTAGGAAATATGTCGATCGACAGGGACGGAGAAACGTCCGTAGTAAAAGTTAGAATTTCTTTTCTTTTTTCTATTCTTTTTTTTTTTTCTTTTTTTTTTTTTTTTTTTTTTTTTTTTTTTTTTAACTATAAAGTTCGTCAATCGATAAATTTTATTTTATAATGAAAATTATCGCACTGATAAGGGATCAAACCGAATAACGGATCTTTAGCTATCGATTAGATACACCTGTGTGCCGTTACGCGTGACTAAGAACAAGGCCGAATGTTAATTATTATAATTATATATATATGTATATATATATATATATATATATATATATATATATATATATATATATAAATAACTCTGGTAATCGAGAGGATATATTAACGAATATAAGATTTCATTAAACGGCAAGGAGATAGATACACGTGTACGCGAGCGTAATAACATGTTAGGAAGAAAGTAGCATGATCGGCTTAGCGTCTGAAATTACGGGTAAATGATTTAAAATGTCCTCTCGCACAACAAAACAATTTTATAAATCGATATCGGTTGGTACGCCTCCGAGCTGCTTTCGAATGCAACCGTATCGTTTCGTGAATCAGCACACCACTTAGGCTCGAAAAACGGCTCTCGTTTCACGAACAAAATCACCGGCCCTTAAGAGGCGTGCACCAGTCCTTATTTTTTTCCAAAAAGCGAGTAATTTCGTGCAATCTTCTGCGAGAGCGAGGCGTGGCCCGACCACAGGGATATTCCGGTAGGTAACTACTTTCTATGTATCCATCTGTGTGCTTATCCATGTATATCCATCTGTCTATCTATTTCAGTTGTCTGTATATTTATTGTCTATGTATGTATGTGTGTGTGAGTGTGTCATTAACCGAATCCTTCGAGTGACCCCGCTTTGTCCTTCCATTCTTCGTTTTCTCGCGTTTGAAACTTTTAAGCGTTGCATTACCGAGAAAATGTATTATAAAATTGTCACTGTTAAAAGCGAACGGACGCTATGCAAATCTAATTGTAAGTGAATGTCATAAAAAGTGCCTCATAGTGCGCATAACTATGCCCGCATATATAATTTTTATGCGAGTATGAAAGCAAATGGCAATTTCTCGGCAGTGTCTTTTCCTCTAATTACATCGTCAATTTAAAAAGGTATAACCATGAAAGAAATTCGTAATCGCAGGGGACAAGACGGGACGCCGAGTCTGAGATGGTCGTTCGAAGGACTGTGTACATATCTTTCTTTTTGAATGTGTGTGTGTGTGTGTGTTTGTTTGTTTTGTATGTGAGCGTGCGCGAGGAGAAAAAAAGAAGAAAGAAAGAAAAAAAAAAAAGGGTCAAATCGAGAGAAGTGCAAAAAGAATACGTTGACAGAATGAAATGTTTGTCTGGTGTTTCTTAGCGGGATGGGAACTAAAGTTAGACGTCATCGAACGATCGTCTAAGTTATTTCTAGAGACGCCGTCACGTATGTTCCTTCACTGGGTTTCTCACATATCTTTTATTGTCATACGAGGAGGGGAGCTGAAAGTTCGAGTGACCCAGATCGTCGTAGACTA